CCAGGCTCCAAGTCCCATTCATTATACAAACTCAAGGAATTCAGCCCCTCTGTTTTTCAAAGCCAAATCTTATGGGGAATGGTGCAGGGGCCCATTTCTCTGCCCCCTCTCTACACGCAACTCCCTCCCTACTGCAAGCAGCCTCGCTCTGCATTTCTGGCCCTCCCAACCTTTTAGATGCAGCTTCTTCTCTATATTTGGTTGTGGAGTTTGTTCTGCCAGTCTTTTGATGGCTCTCTGGTTTGGTGATTAGGATGTGGCTGCTACCTAGTTGTAAACGTGGGATGGAGTGATCTCAGGGTCCTCCTCATCTGCCATCTTCCCCTCACCAATAACTGTCATTTCTAAAACTAAGACTTGGGCTAGTTCTCACAGACAAAAATCTCACTTTACAGAAATTTAAAAATAAGTTTTATTGAGGATTGTAGAGTTTGGCACTGAGACAGACTACTTCATAAAACTACGTCAAGTTATAAGGTACCATTGATTGTCAAAGATACTGATTAAGCAAACAAGATACGCATTGTGTATGATTTAAGAAACAATTGGCATGTGTGTGTGTGTGTGTAAGTGTGTAAGTAAGCTCCATGTCCAATGTGGAGCCCAACACGGGACTTGAACTCACAAAGACCTGAACTGAGGTCAAGAGTTGGATGCTTTGGGACATTTGGGTGGCTCGGTCAGTTAAGCATCTGCTTTCAGCTCAGGTCATGATCCCAGCATCCTGGGATCAAGTCCTGCATAGGGGGGGGTCCTTGCTCAGCGGGGAGCCTGTTTTTCCCTCTGCCTGCTCTGTTTGCTGATCCCCCTGCTTGTGCGTGCTCTGACAGATAAATAAATAGAGTCTTAAAAAAAAAAGAGTTGGACACTTAGCTGATTGAGCCACCCAGATGCCCCCAAAATTCTTATCTTTTTAAAAGCAAAATGTAGGGTGCCTGGATGGCTCAGTCAGTTAAGCATCAGACTCTTGGTTTCGGTTCAGGTCATGATCTCATGGGTCATAGGATCAAGCACCACAAGGGGCTCCACACTCAGCAGGGAGCCTGTTTGAAGATTCTCTCCCTCTGCCCTTCCCCCCACTCCTGCTCACACGCAAGCATGTGTACTCTCTCTCTAAAATAAATAAATCTTTAAAAAAATAAAAAGGGGGGACGTCTTGGTGGCTCAGTCGTTAAGTGTCTGCCTTCGGCTCAGGTCATGATCCCAGGGTCCTGGGATGGAGCCCCACGTCGGGCTCCCTGTGCAGTGGGGAGTCTGCTTCTCCCTCTCCCACTCCCCGCCTCTCGTGCTCTCTCTCTCTCTCTGAAATAAAATAAAATCTTTAAAAAAATAATAAAAAAATGAAAAGGGGTTCCTGGGTGGCTCAGTAAGGTAAGCATCTGACTTCTGCTCAGGTCATGGTCTCAGGGTCCAGGGATCGGGACCTGTATCAGGCTCCCTGCTTGGCAGGGAGTCTGCTTATCTCTCTCGCTCTCCCTCTGCCTCTCGCTCAACTCATGCTCTCTTTCTCTCTTAAATCAAATCTTTAATAAAAAAATTAAAAAAATAAAATAAAAGCAAAATGTTAGTCAAGTAGTGACCAGTAGCTTCCTACACAGAGATGCTAGGAAATAAATTAACTTTGCAACTTGTTTTTCCTTCAGACTATAAACTTGCTGAACTAGAATCTTCTTTTAAACTCTACAGAACCTATTCATTATCCCTAAAGGAGAAACTTATATTTCCAGCCTTACTCTTTCTTGTGTTAAAAGGGAAGTCTTCTACATCCCAAGGAAATGGTCTGAGATCTACATAGAAATGAATTTACAAAGATAATCATCACAGTACTAATCATTACAGCTAACTTGTTTTTAAAACCTAGATGTCCGTAAATAGAAAACCACTTAATTATAGATTATGAAATACTGTCAACATTCAGGTTTGGTATCATGCTCAATGTGTGATGTTAGGTCAGAGAAAAGCAGGGTAAGAATCTATACACATGGCTAAAGTATGAATACACGTGTGTGTGTGTGTGTGTGTGTGTGTGTGTGTGTGTATACTGGAAGGAAATGAAGTACACCAAAATTTTAATTGTGCTTTCTTTTTAATTTTTATTTATTTCTTTTTAAAGATTTTATTTATTTATTTGACAGAGAGAGAGCACAAGCAGGGAGAGTGGCAGGCAGAGGGCGAAGCAGGCTCCCTGCAGAGCAAGGGAAGCCTGATGTGGGACTCAATTCCAGGACCCTGGGATCATGACCTGAGCCGAAGGCAATCACTTAACCAACTGAGCACAGGTGCCCTGTGCTTTCTTTTTTAAATACTTAGATAAACCTTCTATTTTTTTTTAAAGATTCTATTTATTTATTTGACAGAGAGAAACACAGCGAGACCGGGAACACAAGCAGGGGGAGTGGGAGAGGGAGAAGAAGCAGGCTTCCCGCTGAGCAGGGAGCCCGATGTGGGGCTTGATCCCAGGACCCCGGGATCATGACCTGAGCCGAAGGCAGACACTTAATGACTGAGCCACCCAGGCGCGCCATAAACCTATTTTAAAATAGTTTTCAATTTACAGAAAAGTTGCAAAATAACAGAGTTTCTGTATACCCAGCCCCCACTTTCCCCTTTTGTTAGTATCTTACATTACTATGGCACATTTGTCACATAATACTGATATATTAGTATTAACTAAACTCCATACTCTGTCCATATTTCCTTAGTTTTTCCCCAATGTCCTTTTTCTGTTCAAGTATCCCATCTAGGATACCATGTTACATTTAGTCATGTCTCCTTAGGCTCTCCTTGGCCGTGACGGGTTTTTAGACTTTTTGTTTTTCATGACCTTGACAGTTATGAGTATTGTGGTTAGGTATTTTGCAGAATGTCCCTTAATTTGGGCTTGCTTGAAGCTTTTCTCATGATGAGACTAGGGTTATGGGTTCTTGGGAGGAAGACTGCAGGGTGAAGTGCCACTTTCAACACATTGGTCATACCAAGGTTACATGATATCAACACAATTTATCCCTGATGTTTACCTGGCTAAGGTAGTGTTTGTTACACTTCTTCATTATAGAGTTACTCCCTGTCCCCCTTTCCATGCTGTACACTTTGGTAGTGAGTAACTAAGTATAGCTGCCTGCCTTTTGACTTCTAAGTTTTCATTATTTTCTAAATTTCTATAATAAACATATATTTCCTGGGAAAAAAAAAGCCATAACCAATTTTAAATCCTACCTATACTTCAAGTCTCATCTGAAATGCCACTTCTCTTAAGTCCTCCCCACCTCTCCACTAAGTTAGATGTGGTTTGTCCCATCCTTATGTATTTTTATTCTGTTCTATCTCTACACTAAAATGTTATTTTCCCCACTTGTTTATACATCCATCTTATTTCAGAAGGGATTAAAGGAGGGGCTCCTCTCCTCCCTGTGTCTGCTGCAAAGCCTCGTCTACAAGGGACATGGTCATCCACCTCTTAACTTCTTTTGTTCTGTCCTGAGGCTCTCTCAGGAACCTGCTCCAGAATCTTTGAGGACACCAAGTATTCCAGCATGATAAACAGTGAAGAAATTACCTTGGAAAGTATAGTTAAACCAGTCCGGTTTTTCTTGCCCATGTGCTGAGGAAAGCGTGCAGAAAGCACAATTGGTAGTACAGAGAGAAGCCCCCGGCCCTGCTATTACCTTCTTGGTCATGGGCAGAGGCATCCCTGAGCTCACGGAGGTGAGTGGAGATTAGAAACTTTAAGCACCACATTTTCTTCATGTAAAAACAAACAACCAATCTTCGACTCTTTCATACCTTTTTGTTTCTTTTGGCTTTCAATTTTCTTCTGGTTTAGTCCTGGCTTGGTAGAGCCAGATACCACAAGCCTCTCTAATTAGCACCCATACTAAGAGCTTTTTTTTTAAATTAAGATTTTATTTATTTGACAGAGAGAGACAGAGCGAGAGAGGGAACACAAGCAGGGGGAGTGGGAGAGGGAGAAGCAGGCTTCCAACTGAGCAGGGAGCCTGATGCGGGACTCGATCCCAGGACCCTGGGATCATGACCTGAGCCAAAGGCAGCTACTTAATGACTGAGCCACCCAAGCACCCCAAGAGCTCTTTTTCAAGATGACATTTTATTTATTTAGGTGCTGTCTGAATCTGAGGCAGGATTCTCTGTCATGTAGCGATTGAGAAAATTCAATGATAGAAGCGGAAGGGAAATATAAACAAGTCATAATCCATATTAAGAAAAAAGATCCAGTAGCCATGTTTACATCTTAATAATCTTCCTGTTCCTTCTCTATAATTGTAAATATGTTTCCAAATGTTATTTGTAAATATTTTCTTGAAGACATCTCCGCTCTGGAAGTTTAATCTTATGGCCCGTGGATGTAACCATCCATTTCCAAGCCTTCCTAATAATTACCAGAAACAACCTTGCTAGTGTATAATGCCCAATGTGCAAATATCTGAATTTTCTTTGTTAGGGAGAAGAGTTTTAGATTGACATCACAGTCATCTTTCTTTGGTTAAACAAATGTTAACAGCAATCACTGACTCTAGCAGATTACATTTGCTTTAAAATGTGAACAGGGGTGCCTGGGTGGCTCAGTCTGTTAAGCGTTTGCATTTGGCTCAGGTCATGATCCCAGGGTCCTGGGATGAAATCCCACACCAGGCTTCCTGCTCAGCCAGGGAGTCTGCTTCTCCCTCTGCCTCTGCCCTCCCCGTGCTGTGCTCTCCCTCTGTCAAATAAATAAATAAAATCGTTAAAAAAAAAAAAAGGTTATGAACAAGAGCTTGCACATATTCTTTCACTTACCTCCCAGAGTTGGGAGGATTAAATGACTGGCATAAAATTGGTGCCTTGGAAGCATATTTCCTTCCCCAACTGCTCTCCTCCTTCCTGGACTAAAATAAAACCACTGTCAGTTCCATGTGTTGCTGTGGCATCAGGTGTGTGTCAAGTAAAAGCTGCCTCTTCCCAGCACTTACTTGTTTTGTAAAATCAATATTTTTAAAATGATATTTACGCAACAAAACACTTTTTATTGGTATATATATATATCCATGTTAAAGCAGAATATGTGAAAGGACACACATGAAAATCATCACAAAGATTATTTTGTGGAGGATAATGGTAGCCTAGGGATTGATGGGCCACTTTGGCTAGATTATTTTGAGCTAAAGGCAATTGAGACCCTACAGGCTCAAGAGAAATTTTTGCCTTTCCCTTAATTACATGGAAGAATCTAAATTGAGGGTCTTTCCCAGAATAAGGGTTATTAACAGAGATAAACTGTATCTGAGTGACCCATCTGTATGGCAGAGCAAACATCTAATTATCAAACATCTGCTCTTCTTATTGCCCTATGAAGTGCATTCCTTCCCTCCGAAGTCCTAGACCCCTAACCTTTTCTCCTTAGTTCAGGATGACGTACATACCTCGTTTTGCCTGACTGTCTTTTGAATTTCCATGTCTGTGTGGATTTCCTGTGCACATGCTATCAGATTTGATTTTCTCCTGTTAATCTGTCTCTTGTCAATTTGATTCTTAGCCAGCTAGAAGGACCTAATATGGGATAGGAATTCTTGCTCCCCGACAGTAGTGACCGTGGCAAGAACACTGAAAGGAGACGGCATCTTCACTTGTAATGTTCCACTATTTAATCTTTAACAAAAGTTGCTTATACTTACGGCTCTCTTTTCATTCCTGACATAATTTGTATGGAGACTATTTTTTTAAGATTTTTTTTTTATTTCTTTATTTGTGAAAGAGAGCACAAGCAGGGGGAGCAGGAGAGGGAGAGGGAGAAGCAGGCTCCCTGCTGAGCAAGGAGTCCCATGCAGGACTCGATCCCAGGACCCTGGGATCATGACCTGAGCCAAAGGCAGACACTTAACTGACTGAGCCACCCAGGTGGTGTCCCATATGGAGACTATTTTTAATGGTGATGTCATTTAAAGAGAAAGGAATAAAAACCTAAAAGTGTTATAATAATACAGCGGGTGAACTGTCTTTAACTGTTGCTGCTTAGCATATATTAGTCTCACCCTCCTAAACTTCAAATAGTGGGTTATATTTTCAGGAGAGTTCCCCTAACTTTTCTCCACCAAGTGTTTGTGGAAGAAAGTCTGGAGCTGCTTCCAAGCGTCCACCTGGGCCATGGCATGAGCCCTGGGCTCCCCTCCCCAGATGACAGGACCACCCACGAAGACGTGTAGGGAAGCTCTGCACATGGGGAAGTAAGGAGGCTCAATGTAGTGCCCTGTCCCAGGATAACAGATGATCTGGGGCTTCTCCCTACCATGGGCCTGTAAGCACTTAGAGGCCTCATTAGCAAAGAATTCACTCTTCCAGTTGCGGTCATCCTGACCTACAAGGAACAGGAAGGCACTCTCAGCCCTTTCCACGGGAATGAAACTCTTCTGGTCAGCTCCTTCCAAAGGGCTGTTCAGGACATGCAAAATGTCTCTCAAGCCGTCTTTGGTCAGCCTTATTCGACTTGGGTCTATGCCCAGAGGGGGCAACATCTCATCTTTGTAGTGTAAGGCTCCTCCGACAATGGCCACAGAGCCATTGATTATGACAGAAGCAGTGATACCTTTCAGGAATGAGGCCATAGACAGGCAGAGTTCACCTCCTTTGGAACTGCCAAGCAGCCCGACTCCCGGACCCTTTACCTGAGAAAACAACAGAGGAAGGAGAATGAGGCCATGAACAGTGCAGTGTGATGAGCAGTGCCTAGAATTGGAAAACAGGTGCAACTGAGCCTGAATCTGGGCTCTACCATTGGCCAAGTTTTGCAATCTTGGGGTATTCACTTATTCTTCCTCTCTATCTTCCTTTCTACAATTTCTCCATTATCATTCTTGGTGACTTCAGCAACCATGTGGAGGATATACTAAATACTCTGGTTTCTTAGCATTTGTGTTTCCCATCCATCCTGCCACATTTCACTTATGTTTGCTTTCCACTTCCCCAAAAGACCATGCCACACCTCTCCGAAGACAACATCAAGGCTCTTAACCTTTAACCCTGTTCCCTTTCACTGTCAGCTCTTCACACCAGATGGAGAAAATAAAGCTCTCCAGTAGGGACTCTGCCTCTTTTCACCCTGCAGGATATACTTAGTTCCACAGGAGCTCAAGCTCTCTGCCTTCCCTTGGGTTTCCAAAGTGCCTCTGTGCTTACCCCTGCTGCCTGCACTTGGAATCTCCTCCACTCTCATTCTCCAGGACTTGCTCCTACAATTACATCATCTTTCTCCTTCTTCATCACTTTCTTCTGTGGCCCATTCCCATGGGCATACTTAATGCTCTATTTTCATAACATTTTCATAACAAACCCTTGACCTCACATCCACTCTGCCCTAGTTTTCTACTCTCTTTCACAGCAAGATTTGTGGGGACCAATTGTCTGAGTTGTTCTTTCAGTCTTCCCTTCTCTACCCCATCCCCTCAGGGTGGTTTGGGTCTGCACTATCCCACAAGGACTGTTCTTGCCACAGTTACCAACATCTATTATAAATGGCCCTCCGATTCCCCTCTCAACAGCAGTCTTTTTCTCCTTATGGCTTCTACAACAGCACCCTTGACTCTTTTCAACCACTTATTCCTCCTAGAGGAAAAGTACTAGGAAATTAAATGATATATTATCATCCCAACTTTTCAGAGGAGGAAAGAGAGGCCGCAAGATCATGGGGCTAGTTGGCAATTGGTGAAATCAAAACTCAGATTTAACTCTTGTCTATCCACATCTCGTGCTGATGCCACTACACACTATCACCTTTTCTAAGAGTTCCAAAGCTTCCCATCCACTGAGCTCTGAACTGTAGAATAAGCAATGTTTATCTCCTGATCCTCTGATACCCTGAGCCCATGAACCTCAAAACACTTCCTAGTACCAAGGTTTTTGGCTGCCCAGTTCTTCTTTAATACTTAAAACTGTGCTCTCAGAGGGGCCACAAAGAAGAGAGGGTTGTTATACACGAACATTTAATGTAGGGCCTTCTGGAGAGTGTGATCCCCTTCCCATTTCCCTCTACTTCCTGTATCAAAGCCAGGGTTCCAAATATGTTTGGGCTTATTATGATATCCTGTAAAATACTGGAATTTAAAATTCCAAACCAACTAAGAACATCTTTACTAGCAGGAAATACGAGAACATAAGATTGCATAGAAACAGTCTATGAGAAGTGACTCTAAATGGTAGTGTGTATTGGGGACTGGGAGTGGTGGTGGTGAATTTGTCATGTTCTGTGAAAACTAAGAGCAGTTATGAAGACAGCAATACATAGATCATAAAACCTTCAGAAGTTCCAACCTGAGGGTGATCCAGCAGGTAGTTCACAGCTTCTTCGAAGTAGTCCAGGTGGAGGATCTCCAGGCCTTTGGGGAGGTCTTCATAGTTATGATAAGCCAGAGCCATCACAGCAAAACCCTTGCCAGCCAGCAGACTAGCTCGTTGTTCCAGAAGGCCACTTCCAACTCCATAAATGTCCACAATCCCAGGAAAGGGCCCCGGTTCTTTGGAAGAAACGAAACACAAAACTGAACTATTCCCCAAACTCTCTGCAGTGGGGTCAAAAGCCCTATGTTGCCTACTTGGTGATGTCAAAGTTTTCTATTGACAATCAGAAATGCTAGAAGACCTCTCTGGTCTTCAAAGATCCAGACAGTGGCATAGGCTCAATCCACATTTCCCCTATACCCAGAGCCTCAAAGCCCCACAGATTTTTTACAAAAAGCATGCTTTACCTTTGTAATTAAAAATAATTTACAAGCAGACAATGAAAAGAGCAAAATCGTTACCCCCTCCACCCCCAAAGCTGACAATGCCAAATGCTAGAGAGCAGGTAGAACAATTGGAACACTCATACACTGCTGGTGGAATTGCAAAATGATACAGCCACTTGGGAAAACAGCTGGGCAATGTCTTATAAAGTTAAATACGTACTTACCATATGATTTAGCAATCTCATTCCTAGGTATTCACCCAAGAGAAATGAAAATTTGTGTTCACACAAAAACATGTATGCAAAAGTTTGTAGTGACTTTTTTCATCATCTCCAAAGACTTGAAACCCAGCCTGGAAACCCGTCCTTCAACTGTTGAATGAATAAAACTGCTTTTGGGTTTTGTTGTTGTTTTAAAAGATTTTATTTATTTGAGAGAGCGAGAGCGAGCACGCACATGCATGCGCGCACGCACACACACAAGTGGGGGGAGGGGCAGGGAGAGAGAAGAGAGGAGAGAAAAAGCAGCAGAGACTCCCTGCTGAGCAGGGAGCCTGGGATCAGGACGGAGCAAAGGCAGCCATGCTCTACCCACTGAGCCACCCAGGCGCCCCTTTCATGCTAATTTTCTTAAACCTTAATATACTGTGAGAGTTAGAAGCAAAGTTGCTATACTGAGAAATCATAAAAAAAAAATCAATAAAGGGGGGGGGCGCCTGGGTGGCTCAGGTCATGATCCCAGGGTCCTGGGATCGAGCCCAACATTGGGCTCCTTGCTCAGCAGAGAGCCTGCTTCTCCCTCTCCCTCTGCTCGGCAGGGAGCCTGCATCTCCCTTTCCCATTCCCCCTGCCTGTGTTCCCTCTCTCATTGTGTCTCTCTGTCAAATAAATAAAGAATCTTTAAAAAAAATCATTAAAGGGATGCCTGGTGGCTCGGTTGGTTAAACCTTTGCCTTCGGCTCAGGTCATGATCCCAGGGTCCTGGGATCGAGTCCCACATTGGGTTCCTTTCTCAGCAAGGAGCCTGCTTCTCCCTCTGCCTGCCTGTCTCTCTCTCTGACAAAGGGACGCCGCCTGGCTGGCTCAGTTGGTAGAGCATGGGACTCTTGATCTGGGGGTTGAGTTTGAGCCACTTAAGGGTTGGGTGTAGAGATTAAAAATAAAATATTAAAAAAAAAAAAGACTTGGAACCACCGGGGCACCTGGGTGGCTCAGTATGCTAAGTGGCTGCTGGCGCAGGTCATGATCTCAGGGTCCTGGGATCCAGCCCCCCATGGGGCTCTCTGCTCAGCAGGGAGTCGGCTTCTTCTTAGTCTCCCTCTGTGCTCTCTCTCAGATAAATAGATAAAACCTTAAAAAAAAAAAAAGACTTGGAACTACCTATGTTTTTGTTTTCACTTAAACTGTCTTGTCCCTTTCCTTACGTCTTCTAGCTGACCTCTCAGTTTTGGAGAGGCAGAGCCACCTCCCCACCAGAGCCCCCTTTGAGGCCCCCACAGACCTCTGCAATGTTGGGAGGTACCTCCTTACTGTCGGTAGAAGTGCAGGAGACGAGAGAAAGACAGGCCTGGGACCCGGGGCGCTCACCTGGGGGCAGGAAGAGCGTGGCGCGCAGCCGGCCCGCGCGCACCGGCTCCCGCCGCACGCCCGGCCGCAGGAAGTCGCGCTCGTGCACCGCCCTGCCCAGGACGCGCCCGGCGTCCGGCTCGTGGCCGTCGAGCACCTCCAGCTCCACCGCGAAGGGCGTCTGCACGTCCCGCTTCACCAACCGCACCAGGGGTTTTTCGGGCTCCAGGGCCCAGAGCAGCCCCATGGGCTCGAGTCCCACGAAGCTGCCGCCCAGCGCGGGCGCGCGCTCCAAGTCCAGAAGGCCGCCGGCGTCGGCTTGGTACCGCGCGTGGGCCCGGAAGAGCGTGCCCCTCTCATCGCGCAGGGACGCGCGCAGCGTGACGGGCTGTCGCGGGGCCAGGCCGCGCACGGCGATGCGCACGGGCTCGTCCCAGCTGCAGCGGCCGGCGGGCTCCAGGCTCCAGGTCGCTGTCTTCCGGGCAGGGGCCCATGAGACCCGGCCGCCAGACCACAGCTTTGGAGAGCCTGTCAGGTGGCCCCATCGGCCGAGTCCGGAAGCTCGCAGGCTAGCGCCGGCGGAGGACATCATTTTGCCTTTTGATTTTAGTTCTCACGTCAACTGAACAGGGCAGTGAAGAAAGTTAGAAACTGCTCAAAGATCCTCTAGTGGCGGGCTGCCTCATCTACATGTTAAGCGCCAGTGGGGCCGACTAGCCCGCCCCATTGAGCTTGGAGGGCCAGACTCCTGTCCCACCAGGTCAGTGGCTTACCTTTAAAAGCAAGAGCGAAAATGACACACGTGAACTTTCTTTACATGCTGAAAAACCTGCAGTTTATGTCGGGGAAGACTTTCCTAGCTCTGCTTCTCAGAAGCTCGGTCTGTGCAATGTTTGCCGCATAAGGGCTGGCTCTGAAGGATTCTCGCAGCTAGGAAAGTCTCCAGTCGCCAATTTTTTTTTAAGTTAATTTTGAGTGGGTTTTTGTTATTTTTCCACCGTTTTTTTAAAAATCAGTTTTTAAAAAGTTATTTGAGATAGAGCACGAGCACGAGTAGGGGCGGGGGTCCGGCAGAGGGAGAGGGAGAAGCAGGTTCTTCGCTGATCTGGGAGACCGATGCGGTGCTGGGACCCTGGGATCAGGGCCTGAGCTGAAGGCAGAAGCTTAACCATTGAGCCACCCAGGCGCCCTTCCAGTCGCCAAATTCTTTTTTTTTTACATAACAGGTTTATTTTTTTTAAAGGTATATAGACAGTAAACAAAGTAAACAATCAGATCTTCACTTCTACCCAGTATTATCTGTCCTAGAACTCTTCCATTAAGTTCCAGTTTCTAAACATCTTAAATTTCAATAATCGTCCTCTTCATCAGAGTCCATAACTTTTCTTCTGTTGAATTTAACTGTGGTTTTCCTTTCTGTTCGCTTACTTTTTCAAGGATTTCTATTAAACCTTGTTCTGATAACTTCCCACTTAGTTGTCCCTATCTTGCCATCTGTATGAGGTAATTCTCTACTGCTTTAGGTTTTTCGGGGTTTACAAGTGCTAAGTTACTGAAGCGGGTCCAGGGTGTCTGATCCAGGGCTTGGGCTAAGACACTGTTTCTCATTTCTGCTTCCCTGTGCTTTGTTTCCGGTTGTGCTGCATCGCCAGCACCCCCGAGCCTCCCCCGCTGCCCAGCCGGCCTCTGCTTGCTCAGAGCCGCCAGCCCCTCCTCCGCCGTGGTGCAGGGGTCCGGGGTCGAGCAGCCGCGACCACGCTCCTGGTCGCCAAATTCTTAACAGCTAAGAAGAGTGCAGGACAGGAATTGAGTTTTATCAGTTTGTTGAATAATTCACTGTCATTAATTATCATAAGACCTTTAAAAGTGTGCATCATGGTGTTTTGCTTGTGTATTACCTGTGTATAGGCTTAACTTCCTCCCCCATCCCCACACTTAAGGGGCCTGGAGTTTTACTAGCTGTGTGACCACAGCTTCATTCCTTATAGGTGTAAAAATAGTCAGGTGAGATCATAGTTACTATACTGCCTTATCCAGTTTGCTGTACTTAGGCAAATGTTCTCTCCATCTGGGACCTTTCACCTTTTCCCCACTTGGTCATAAGCTATGGATGGGTTCCACCTAGTGGTGGATTTTTCATCAAACTTCAGGCCCTTTCCCTGACCTTGTATTGGATTTTACATTCATGACTTTTTCATGTTTATTAGAGAAACCTGCAAATTGTTTAAGCTCGATTCAAGCCCACACCTGTTTGCCACTGCTCCCCATGAGACCACCCTCAAGGACCTTCCCAACCAACGCTTTTTACCTAGTTTCAAATGTTCTCATGTCCTGCTGGCTATTAACCATGCAGTTCCCTGTAGCTCTAATTAGTTTTGCACTGGTTCTGTGGGATATTTCAGTGTATTCTGTGCACAGAAACTAAAGAAAGTAAATAATTATAGTTCTTAATCCTTACAAGAACCTAATGAGAAAATTAAGGCCTTGGAGGAAGAGATGAACTGATTTGCTGAAGATCAAACAACTAGAAATACTGGGATTTACTTATTTTTAAGGATTTTATTTGTCAGAGAGAGAGCACGTGCACGCACAAGCAGGCAGGGGTGGCAGGCAGAGGGAGAAAAAGGCTCCTCACGGAGCAAGGAGCCTGATGCAGGACTTGATCCCAGGAACCCCGGGATCATGGCCTGAGCAGAAGGCAGATGCTTAACCGACTGAGCCACTCAGGTGTCCTGAAATACTGGGATTTATATCTTTGCAATCAGATTCCAGTCTGTGCTCTGAACCATTACGCTTTAATTGTTCTTACATGATATGTCCTATGTTAAAGATTTATAAAACATATTCATATATGGTTGATGGATGCATAAACTGGTATGACCTTAAAAAAATATTTAAAAGGTGCATTCCCTTTGACTCACAATTCCACTTCTAGGAATTTCTCTTAAGTATTTGTGAATCTATATATATATTGGCTGTAAGGATGCTTATCATATTGTTTTAATAGAGGAAAAGTGAGAAACAAACTAGCAATATAAATTTGGTTTAATCAATTTAATTGTGATGCAGTCATATAACAGAAGAGATGTAGACATTAAAAATGTTATAGCAGAATATGATGAGGAAACTCTCATGGCATTGAAAGCAGGTAGAGATCCATATAACCTTAAAGAAAGTGTATTAATACCTTAAAAAAAAAAAACTAGTCAATTACCCAAACTGTTGTTTCTTAGGCTTTGGGGTACTTTGGGTACTTTTAATTTTCTTCTTTGTCCAGAATTTCTATCAGAAATAACATGGCTGGGGTGCCTGGGTGGCTCTGTTCGTTGAGCATCTGACTCTTGATCTCAGCTTAGGTCTTAATCTTAGGGTTGCCTTGGGCTCCACACTGGGCATGGAGCCTACTTAAAAAAAGAGAGAGAAAAGAAAATAACATGGAGTTCATAGTTAAATAGGGTTTTTAAAAATGGTGGTATTATACAAACATAAAACTTATCATTTTAACCATTTTTAAGTGTATAGTTAAGTACACTCACAGTGTTATGCAACCATCACCACTATCTATCTCCAGAACTCTATCACCCAAGCTGAAAACCCTTGCATCCCCTGGAAACCACTATTTTATTTTTGTTCTCTAGGAATTTGACTATTCGAGGTACCTCATATAAGTAGAATCATACAGTATTTGTCATTTTCTGTCTGACTTATTTCAGTTATCATGTCTTCCACGTCCATCCATATATGTAGCATGTATCAGAATTTCCCTCCGTTTTAAGGCTCGTCTACTGTATGTATGCAATACATTTTGTTTACCCATTTATATACTGATGGATTTTGGATTGTTTCCACATTGACCATTGTGAATGCACTGCTATAAACATGGGTATACAGATACCTGTTTAAGAACCCCTGCTTTCAGTTCTTTTGGGTATATACTCATAAGTAGTAGAATTGCTAGATCACATGGTAATTCTGTTTAATTTTTAAGACTTCCAGTCTTTTCATCTCAGGGACCATGCCTTTTCACCCTTTTGTTAAGGGTCTCAGGGTATTTTTTTTTTTAAGATTTTATTTAAGGGTCCCAGGGTCTAAGCACAGCCTGAGCCCAGGCACTAAAGTGAGTGCTCAAGTTGGTCAGCAAGATCCAGTGACCACCTGAATAGCCCCAGGTCAACAAGACAGACAGAACCTCATGCCCAGAAATCTTTTCTGCTGTCAGGACAAATTCTTTTCATAAGGGAACTCCTAACGACCAGTATTCTGGAGGCCTGGGATTTTACTAATAAAAATATGGGATTTGAAGAGTCCCCTTGTAAAAACAGTGTCACCAGCTGATCATCTAGCCAGGATTTGGGGAGCAGGAGAGATGGAATTAAACTGTGTGATCAAAGGAGATTACGTGGAGGTGGAGATAAAAGGGGAATGGAAAAGACCCCAAAGACAGACCCATTCTACTTTACTACTTGTTCTATCAGCCTAGTAATCTGAAGCACGCCAGAGTGGGCTGTTCATGTGTTTCCTCTTTCTCAGCAGACTTATGAATGCTTGTAGGGGAAAAAATATTGAGCTGCACAGACTTAGAGGTTTATTTTCAAAGAATGACCAAGAAATCCGTTGTGCCATCCATCAATAAATACAATGCAGTTTCCCAATTTGTTTTACAAAAGGAAATTAAATAAATAACTGAGGATACCACTGACTGAACCCGCAAATTCTGTCAGTAGACCCATGGAATTCTAAAGAGGTGGTTGCCTGGTAACCAATATAAACAGCTTTGGAACCTAAGAAACAAGGAACGTTTAAGATGCAGAACCTTGCTTCCCCTTGAAGACTTGGTTGCAGGAGGCCATCTTGAAGGTAATTTCAAAACACTGCTACTTGGGTCCCTGGGTGGCTCAGTTGGTTAAGCGACTGCCTTCAGCTCAGGTCATGATCCTGGAGTTCTGGGATCGAGTCCCACATCAGGCTCCCTGCTCAGCAGGGAGTCTGCTTCTCCCTCTGACCCTCCCCCCTCTCATGTGCTCTCTCTCTGTCATTCTCTCTCTCAAATAAATAAAATCTTTAAAAAACAAAACAAAACATAAAAACACTGCTACTTTACCAGTATCTGAAAAGAGCTTTTAGCATCAGCTGAATGATGAGAGGCAGTCTGAAGTAGTTGAAAAGATTTTGGATTAGGTGTCAAAGGGGTCAGGACTGCTTCAGGGATTAACCAGTACTGTGATCTTTATAGTATCTCTTCTCTCTAGGCCTCAGTTTTGAAATCTGTAAGATGAGTTAGAACAGAATCATGTTTATGGCAGAGTTTCTGTAGTAATCTCAGGAGACAGTAGCAGATCTGTGTGAGGGCATGGCAAGGGACAGGAATTAGAAAGTAGAGGGGGAGAAATGAAGGAACTTTCTGATGAGAAAGAGGCAGTAGGGGGGAGGGGTCTGAAACGAGCCACGTTAAGAGGCTGTGTTCCCTGGTCCTACTCTCCCCACCATCATGCTACCTTCATACCCCCCACAGATACCTATTGGGGCTGTGGCTTCTCTAAATTTAATGTGTATAAACACCCGTGAGAGCTGGTTGAAATGCAGATTTCTAGGCTTCACTTACGGCCTACTG